GGGTTTGCGTGGCAATTAGACGTTGAAGGTTTTGCCTTCTTTCTTACACTTGTCACACTTCTGCCACATGGCGGCGACAGCAGGCCCGAACAACTCCTTGGGTGTCACAGGGGCATCAAGGACGTCCAGTTTTTATTTGTCTGTTAAGCTGGACAGGCTTAACAAAAGTGCCTTCTCTCTCACTACCGCCAGGCTTATGGCGTGACCACAGCCTTGGATGGCGCTATGGAAGGCTTAGAGTTTAAGGTCTGTAATCATTAGGGCTGACCCCAATTAGTCGACTGGTCGATTGTTTGCTAGTTAGGCTGTTGGTCGACCGAGATTGTTTTAGTCGAGCAGTAACATATATACTACCAGTCAAAAGTTTGGACAACTACTCATTCAAGGGTTTTTCTTTATTTTTACTATTTTTTACATTGTAGAATAATAGTTAAGATATCAGAACTATGAAATAACACATATGGAATCATGTAGTGACCAAAAAAGTGTTAAACAATATATATATTTTATATTTTGAGATTCTTCAAATAGCCACCCTTTGCCTTGATGACAGCTTTGCACTTTCTTGGCATTCTCTCAACCAGCTTCATGAGGGAGTCACCTGGAATGCATTTCAATTAACAGGTGATAATGCCAAACGTCGCATATGGAGGAAACCTGGCACCAGCCCTACAGTGAAGCATGGTGGTGGCAGCATCATGCTGTGGGGATGTTTTTCAGCGGCAGGGACTGGGAGACTAGTCAGGATAGAGGCAAAGATGAACGGAGCAAATTACAGAGAGATCCTTGATGAAAACCTGTTCCAGAGTGCACAGGACAACAACCCTAAGCACACAGCCAAGACAATGCATGAGTGACTTCGGGGCAAGTCTCTGAATGTCCTTGAGTTGCCCAGCCAGAGCCCGGACTTGAACCCGATCAAACATCTCTGGAGAGACCTGAAAATAGCTGTGCAGCAACACTCCCCATCCAACCTGACAGAGCTTGAGAGGATCTGCAGAGAAGAATGGGAGGAACTCCCCAAATACAGGTGTGCCAAGCTTGTAGTGTCATATCCAAGAAGACTCGAGGCTGTAATCGCTACCAAAGGTGCTTCAACAAAGTACTGAGTAAAGGGTCTGCATACTTATGTAAATGTGATATTTCAGTTTTAAATATTTAATACATTTGCAAAATTTTCCAAAATCCTGTTTTTGCTTTGTCAGTATGGGGTATTGTGTGCAGATTGATGAGGGGGAAAAAACGATTTAATCAAGTTTAGAATAATGCTTTAACCTAACAAAATGTGGAAAAAGTCAAGGGGTCTGAATACTCTCTGAAGGCTCTGTATATGTATGTACACTACCAGTCAAAAGTTTTAGAACACTTATTCATTCTAGGATTTTTCTTTATTTCTACTGTTTTCTACATTGTAGAATAATAGTGAAGACATCAAAACTATGATATAACACATATGGAACCATGTAGTAACCCAAAAAGTGTTAAAAAAAAATCCAAATTCATTTTATATTTGAGATTCTTCAAAGTAGCCACCCTTTGCCTTTATGACAGCTTTGCACACTCCTGGCATTCTCTCAACCAGCTTCATGAGGAATGCTTTTCCAACAGTCTTGAAGGAGTTCCCACATATGCTGAGCACTTGTTGGCTGCTTTTCCTTCACTCTGCCATCCAACTCATCCCAAACCATCTCAATTGGGTTGAGGTCGGGTGATTGTGGAGGCCAGGTCATCTGATGCAGCACTCCATCACTCTCCTTGGTAAAATAGCCCTTACACAGCCTGGAGAACAGACGACTTTCGGTCGACCAAGATTATTATTAGTCGGGGACAGCCCTAGGAATTATACAGATCTCATCCCAAGTATCTGGATTTAGGGTATCCAAAGGGGCTTGTCCAATGAGCTCTTGGCCTCCCTGAGACAAGCTATCTCAACACCCCTCGTCATCCCCTAGCCTTGACTCCAAAAGCTATCTAAAACCTCGCCCCAGCTTGGCTTGACTGTGGGGGACAGAGCCTCCACCTCGGCCGGTGGCTTAGATGCGATGGAGGGGGTTGAGATAGTGGCGTGTTTGAGCCTCCTTCTCAAACCCACTCTAGTCAGAACCTTACAATGCTCGCAGGACTCTGGGTCGTTCCCTTCCCTGGCAATTGATGCATAGAAGGTGAAAATCCTTCCCTGCAATCATAGAACTGCAAGCACAAGAACGTGGGGTTTTGAGTGCCTGGCTAGGTTTGCCTTGGGATGGGGCGGCAGTAGCCATTGTACAGAGCAGGGCTTGCTGAAATGAAGACTCCTGTTGTTAGGCCTGAGTTAGCTTGTTAGAAGCCTTGCGGCTAATGCCGCGAGGCTAGTAATGCGTTAGCTAGCATTAACCTTGTAGCTTGTACAGTGCTAGCTGAAGGGAACCGCGTGGGGGCAGTTCGCTTTCGGGTAAATATACTCCCACGACCGTAGAGCCGTGAGGCAACCAGCCGGTCTAATTAACACAAATTAACACATAAACATAGGTCAAACTTTGACGAGTGAAGGGAGCTAGCAATAGTACCGTGTTGCTGTTGTGGTTAGCTAGCTTTCCAGCTAGCTAGCCAAGATAGCTAAAGCCTTTCGATGAGGGCTAACCAAGTCTCGATAGTTAGCCTGTGATGCTAGCAACCACCGGAGACTGTCTCCAACAGGCGCTGTGATTGGTACTTCAGTTAGAGGATCCGCTAGAGCAAATCCCCATAGTGAGATATCGAAACAATATATTTGAAATAGAACTCAACTGATAACTCTTGTATTGCTCTGCGTCTTATGTTCAGAACCTTTCATTTTGCATTCATTGAATTTGAACACATCTTTCACATCTGAGTCATTCGTGCAAAATATCACACTTTTGCTGAAGCTGCAAGCAATTGGTTAAACCAAAATTTGCACTAGTAGACTCTGTACTTGCAATGCTGCAAACCCTACTGTAACTGTAGTGGAGGGGGGGGGTAAAGAATAAAGAGCTGTTAGAAGAGAAGAGGTGTTGTTTCAGCTTCAGAGGTAAAGAGGGGATTGTGTCTGGCCCTGGGGATCACTGCCTCCCGAGACTGGAGATGCAAAGGGGAGCAGAGGCCTGTGTTTGTGTAATGGAGGGAGACTGGGAAATAAAGGTGGGCTATGAAACTGGAGCCAGCCCAGTCTCTCTCGCTCTCTCTCTGTGGCAGGAACTGCCAGAGGGCCCCACAGTTTCACTTAATCACACTTGCTGGATTTCCTATTGCTCTTCCTGGTCCTGACACAAACGCACAATAATAAACACACACACACACACACACACACACACACACACACACACACACACACACACACACACACACACACACACACACACACACACACAGTGACAGTGTACAGAAAAGAGACAGCAGTCAGTGGAGGTTAAGGGTTGTAGTTAGAAACAGACAGAAAGGCCTGGGCTCACGATGGGCCCTGGTCAACAGTATTGCACTTTATAGGTAGTAGGGTGCCAACACAGGAAGGAAGACCACTCCTCAAGCCCTGGCTAAGGGCCATAAGCCTCCTGCAAGACTCTCTCTCACACGGACACAGATGTAAGCTAAGATAACATCCTCCAACGGCACTCCTTACACACATTCATAATCACATGCATACTCGTTCACAATCCACCCACTACATACACACACTGCACCCCTCTCTCCCCACCACTTCCTCAAAGCAAAGCTCCCTTACCGGATGTGCAACTCCAGTGCCACACAATAGCCTGTTTTGCTGTGTATTGCTTACTCAAACACACAGATAAATGTGTGTGAGTGAGTGGAGGTGCTGCCACACGGCACCCACTCTGTGTCTGTCTGTTGTCTTGGCTGTTTCCTGAGTTTAAAGTTAGTGTTTTTATAGTTAGAGTTGTGATGAGAGGTTATGGCTGCTGAAAGACCCATGATATGACACTAGCTCTGGGTGTGTGTGTGTGTGTGTGTTGGTGTGTGAAAGAGATGCTCTGAGAGGCCCATTCCAATGTGACAGCCAGGCCACCACAGTACAGTTCCCCCTAGTTGCAGATCTAGGATCAGCTTCCACCTCCCCCAATCCTAAACTTAACTATTAGTGGGGAAAATGCTCAACTGACCCACGATCAGAATCTAGGAGCAACTTCACTCTACTCTGTACATCTCCCAACATGGAATGGGATGTCACAAGCCTGAACAGTGATCTTCAGTTCTGTTAAGCTCATTGGGCGGTTAGATCCCCTGATATACATTTGAACTGTGTCCAACTGAAATATGCAAAAGCTCAACAGACACTCACAATCGGTATGCCTCTCTCTGTCTCTCTCTCTCTCTCACGCACGCACGTGTTTGTGACTCTCTCTGTCTGACTCTGTCCGTCCGTCTGTCTCTCTCTCTCATCAAACAACTATTAACTCTCTGGAGGAAATTTGTATTGCCAGTAGACTAGAACAATCTCTGTACTCTCTAACCACCAAACGAATACCCAGAATACAGGAAATGAAACCAGCTGACCTATAATATGCAAAAGCAGAAAGTATCAAAACAAGCCTCAGTGTGCAGTAAATAGGACATCATGGCAAAGTTACACTGAAAAACTTAGTTTAAAGGGTTGTTTTTGTACTTTTTTTAACTGTAGTACTTTGTATATGAAGTTTCTTCCTGAAACAACTTCTATGACGATGTGACTACCCTTAACGTTCTATTGTATCAAATATGTGGAAATTCCAGCTTTTACAGCATTTTTTCCCTGTACTTTTCTCCCCAATTTGTCAGCGGTGTATTCACTAGGACCCAAACGGAAATGGGACGAAACAGGGAGGGACATACCTACATTTGTCCAATGAAAAACTTTTAGTTGCAAAACGTTTTACATTTTGCTACGGTTTTGCACCAATGAATACACCCCAGTTCTTTGCTTAGCCAACTAGTGCCTGATATGTCAGTTGACAAGTGCTCCCACCAATAAGTGTCCACTCTGTTTCTCCTCTGCAGCCAATGGAGACATGGCCCATCCTCACACCCCCCTGACCGCCACCGCCACCGACCCCCACCTGACCTACTACTGCCAGGAGGGTGCCAACGTCACCCTGCCATGTGCCCAGAGAGGGGACAAGCTGCATCACTTGGACCACCTGCCTCAAAGATGGCTCTTCACCCCCCACTCAAATGACCATTGCGAAAAAAAAATGCACCCCCGCGGCCACCTTCACCAAGGCAATCATTCCCGTGCGGTGCTGCCTTGGGGGGTGCATTATGGGGCGAACGAGAAGTCTTTCTGGGTGCAACTGCAGTTTGTCAACAAATCGGACCAGGGGCGTTACTGCTGCCTCTCCCACTATCACAAAGGGTTGCAGTTTACACATAGATACGTCATTCTCACTGTCACACCATGTAAGGCCATACTTCCGTGTGTTTGTTTGTGTTAGATGTCAAATGTGTGTGTGAGAGAGAAAGAGTGTGTGTGTGTGTGTGTGTGAGTGAGAGAGGGAGAGAGAGAGAGTGTGTGCGCGCACGCGCAAGAGAGAGCGAGAGAATGTGTGTTTAGAGTTTTTGTGTGTGTGAATTGACATGTCTGTCAAATGTTTAATATTTGTGTGTGTGTGCACGGTGCAACTACGAGTCAATTTCCATTCTTATCATGACATTTAAAAGGCTAAGCTGTCTTGTATGTGTCCTCATCTCTCTGTAGGGAAACAAGGCGAGGCGAAATGTACTGTATTGGAGATCAAGGCACAAGAAGGTATACTTTATTCACATGGACAATTGCACCTGCCTCTAGCACAGGAATGGGCAACTCCAGGCCTTGGGGGCCAGGGTGGTGTCACACTTTTCCCCCATCCCTAGCAAACACAGCTGATTCAACTAATTGCATTCGAAACTGAAGATCATGATTAGTTGATTATTTGAGTCAGCCGCCCACATGAAAAAAATACTATAGTATGTATATATAAGTAATTAAGTAGCCTTGCACGAGCATTGGCTTGTGTGAGACAGAATGGCTCATAGGGCAGGAGCCCAGCCCCTGTTTCTGTAGAGCGAGGCAGCTTGATGTACAAGTACACCGTCAGGACAGGACACTAGTCTATCGCAGGGCCTTGTACCCAATCTATCTCCTTAACACTGAGTGCCAAGCAGAGATGCATCAGGTCCCATTTTTACAGGATTTGGTATTACTTGGCCAGGGATTGAACTCACAACCTTCCAATCTCAGGGCAGACACTCTAACCACAAGTCCAATGAGTTGGTATAAATACTATAGTATTCACTGTAGTGTTTTTGTGGACTAAAGATGGGTGTTTGGAATAAAGGGTCCAATCAGCATCATCTCAAACAATGGGTGGGTGTAGGACAAAATCCCAGGTGCGTTGAATTAGGCTGTCCTCTGATTGGTTGAAGGAGATCCAATCACAGACCAGTTTGTTTTGAATAATGCCCCTCATTACAGGCTCAAACTGTTTCAATGAGGAGGAAGGTTAGACTGAAGTAGAAAGGAAATAGAATGGTGGACACATTAATCAGGCTGGTAAAATGCTCTCTGAAGTTCATTTTGCCCCTGGTCTCTTTACGGTATCCTCAGCGTCAGTGACTGCAGGCGTGGCCACAGCCGCATGCATCATGGCTATTCTCACTCTGCCCGTCATCCTGGTGTTAGTGTACAAGCAAAGGCAATCTGCCCAGTCCAGCCGACGTGAGTAACAAAGACATACATGCACGCGTGCAACACACACACACACACACACAGTTTCAGCTCTACACTTTGTCTTAAACTCATTTCCTCTACACTAGCAGGTGTGACGTTAGGGGATAAACATACATAGATTTAGCACGCTGCTTTGTTGTCTGATAATGGGCCATTTCCCTTTCCCCCCTCCCAGGTGCACACGAGCTGGTGAGAATGGACAGGTGAGTTGAGTTTCCCACAGCCCAGACGCCAGCTATGGCTTCCCTCTGACATTAGGCTAACCACAGACACACTTCCATAACGCTGTTGATAACACAGATACAAAAGTGGTAATCACACTGTTATGTACAGCATGTATGTACAGTGGGGAAAAAAAGTATTTAGTCAGTCACCAATTGTGCAAGTTCTCCCACTTAAAAAGATGAGAGAGGCCTGTAATTTTCATCATAGGTACACGTCAACTATGACAGACAAATTGAGGAAAACAAATCCAGAAAATCACATTGTTGGATTTTTTATGAATTTATTTGCAAATTATGGTGGAAAATAAGTATTTTGTCACCTACAAACAAGTAAGATTTCTGGCTCTCACAGACCTGTAACTTCTTCTTTAAGAGGCTCCTCTGTCCTCCACTCGTTACCTGTATTAATGGCACCTGTTTGAACTTGTTATCAGTATAAAAGACACCTGTCCACAACCTCAAACAGTCACACTCCAAACTCCACTATGGCCAAGACCAAAGAGCTGTCAAAGGACACCAGAAACAAAATTGTAGACCTGCACCAGGCTGGGAAGGCTGAATCTGCAATAGGTAAGCAGCTTGGTTTGAAGAAATCAACTGTGGGAGCAATTATTAGGAAATGGAAGACATACAAGACCACTGATAATCTCCCTCGATCTGGGGCTCCACGCAAGATCTCACCCCGTGGGGTCAAAATGATCACAAGAACGGTGAGCAAAAATCCCAGAACCACACGGGGGGACCTAGTGAATGACCTGCAGAGAGCTGGGACCAAAGTAACAAAGCCTACCATCAGTAACACACTACGCCGCCAGGGACTCAAATCCTGCAGTGTTAGACGTGTCCCCCTGCTTAAGCCAGTACATGTCCAGGCCCGTCTGAAGTTTGCTAGAGTGCATTTGGATGATCCAGAAGAGGATTGGGAGAATGTCATATGGTCAGATGAAACCAAAATATAACTTTTTGGTAAAAACTCAACTCGTCGTGTTTGGAGGACAAAGAATGCTGAGTTGCATCCAAAGAACACCATACCTACTGTGAAGCATGGGGGTGGAAACATCATGCTTTGGGGCTGTTTTTCTGCAAAGGGACCAGGACGACTGATCCGTGTAAAGGAAAGAGTGAATGGGGCCATGTATTGTGAGATTTTGAGTGAAAACCTTCTTCCATCAGCAAGGGCATTGAAGATGAAATGAGGCTGGGTCTTTCAGCATGACAATGATCCCAAACACACCACCCGGGCAACGAAGGAGTGGCTTCGTAAGAAGTATTTCAAGGTCCTGGAGTGGCCTAGCTAGTCTCCAGATCTCAACCCCATAGAAAATCTTTGGAGGGAGTTGAAAGTCCGTGTTGCCCAGCGACAGCCCCAAAACATCACTGCTCTAGAGGAGATCTGCATGGAGGAATGGGCCAAAATACCAGCAACAGTGTGTGAAAACCTTGTGAAGACTTACAGAAAACGTTTGACCTGTGTCATTGCCAACAAAGGGTATATAACAAAGTATTGAGAAACTTTTGTTATTGACCAAATACTTATTTTCCACCATAATTTGCAAATAAATTCATAAAAAATCCAACAATGTGATTTTCTGGATTTGTTTTCCTCAATTTGTCTGTCATAGTTGACGTGTACCTATGATGAAAATTACAGGCCTCTCTCATCTTTTTAAGTGGGAGAACTTGCACAATTGGTGGCTGACTAAATTCTTTTTTTCCCCACTGTATAAGAAGTTAACTGTATCGGATAACAGTTGCATACTATACAATACTGTATATGTTTTCTGTATACATCTATCTGGTCATTTCTTTCCTCTCCCCTGTGTGTGTCTCTCCTCAGTGAGGCTGCGGGTCATGAGAACCCGGTGTTTCTGGGGGGCTCACCCCCGGGCCAGGCTAAGACCAGGACTGTGTCTCAGATCATGACCAGGCAGTCCTCAGAGACTGGCCGCCACCTGCTTATGTCCGACCCTGGCACCCCCCTATCTCCTCCCGCACACGGAGTCGTCTTCTTCCCAGAACAGGGTAAGACGCATACACACAGGATATAACACACAGACATGCATGCACACACACACACAGGCTATAACACACATACACGCACGTATGCATGAACGCTCATGCACACACACACACACGTACGCACGGTATATATATATATATATATATATATATATATATATTAGTACCAAAACATTAAACAAACAAACAAAAACAATTAATATATATATTTTATGTTTTGGTACTATTTTGACAAGTATATTGTGAATAAAAATAAATTAATCTTAATACAACTCCAAACTGGTAACACTTGTAACGCAGCCAGTCTTGCGTTCAAAAACGTTTCTTGTACATTCATTTTGTTTGTAGACTTCTTTCACCACACAACCATTGCTCCAAAATACAAGTTTACTGTGAAATATAATGAGTCAATTGGTTTAATCACCAAAACACAACATAATGATAGCTTCTCAATTTAGTTATTTTAACAACCAGTTAATCCAATAGCAAAAAAAAATTAAGATACATATTTCAAAATTGACCTTTTGAATGTAGTATACTACAGTACTGTAAGTTACACTTACACTGTTTTCACATTAGGCAATGCACTTGCTTTACCCATAAAATTGACTGAACATCACATTTCCATAATTTCCATGTGTCATCATTGAAGACATCTTTCACAATGTAATTAAATGAAATAAACAATGTTTAGCAGGCACGAGTTTGCATCAAGCTTGTCTTGAACATTTGGCCATATGTTCTCATCAAAATCGCAGTAAATATCCTCATTGTTCATGCACCTGCCGAAAAACCAGGAACTCCATTTTGGATACATGTTTACTATATAGGGGATGTTTTGGAGTTTCTGGACTATTTGCGTGTTTGTATTGATATTGTATTACTGCACTCTAGGAGCTAGAAACACAAGCATTTTGCTGCACCTGCTGTAACATCTGCTAATATGTGTATGCGACCAATACACTTTGATTTGATTTGTTATATACAGTACATCTCTGATCTCGTCAATATCCCCAAAAATATTTTACTTACTGTGAAGTAAAATCATAAGCCATCATCATAGTAGTACATTCGAGTATATATCATAGTTTTTATGTTTCTACTTTACAGACGTACACTGCAATACATCTTCATATGAAGTAAATGCCTTTCACAAGGCAATGCTCACATTACTTTTGATATGATTCGGTTCTCGTTCGTTAAAATATGTTTTACTATTACTTAATCCGACTGCTGCTAATTGATGACCACAAACATTTGGTAAACCTTTAGATTTTACATGTAAATAGATTTTGAGAACTACATAATGAAAATGTATACTGAGTGTACAAAACATTAGGAACACCTGCTCTTTCCATGACATAGACTGACCAGGTGAATCCTGGTTAAAGCTATGATCCCTTATTGATGTCACTTGTTAAATCCACTTCAATCAGTGTAGATGAAGGGGAGGATTTTTAAGCCTTGAGAAAATTGAGACATGGATTGTGTATGTGTGCCATTCATAGGGTGAATGGGCGAGACAAAATATTTAAGTGCGTTTGAACGGGGTATGGTAGTAGGTGCCAGGTGCACCGGTTTGTGTCAAGAACTGCAACGCTGCTGGGTTTTTCACGCTCAACAGTTTCCTGTGTGTATCAAGAATGGTCCACCACCCAAAGGACATCCAGCAAACTTTACACAACTGTGGGAAGCATTGGGGTCAACATGGGCCAGCATCCCTGTGGAACGTTTTCAACACCTTGTAGAATCCATGCCCTGAAGAATTGAGGCTGTTCTGAGGGCAAAAGGGGGTGCAACTCAATATTAGACAGGTGTTCCTAATGTTTTGTACACTCAGTATACATTTTCATTATGTAGTTCTCAAAATCTATTTACATGTACAGTGGGGAAAAAAAGTATTTAGTCAGCCACCAATTGTGCAAGTTCTCCCACTTAAAAAGATGAGAGAGGCCTGTCATTTTCATCATAGGTACACGTCAACTATGACAGACAAATTGAGAAAAAATAATCCAGAAAATCACATTGTAGGATTTTTAATGAATTTATTTGCAAATTATGGTGGAAAATAAGTATTTGGTCACCTACAAACAAGCAAGATTTCAGGCTCTCACAGACCTGTAACTTCTTCTTTAAGAGGCTCCTCTGTCCTCCACTCGTTACCTGTATTAATGGCACCTGTTTGAACTTGTTATCAGTATAAAAGACACCTGTCCACAACCTCAAACAGTCACACTCCAAACTCCACTATGGCCAAGACCAAAGAGCTGTCAAAGGACACCAGAAACAAAATTGTAGACCTGCACCAGGCTGGGAAGACTGAATCTGCAATAGGTAAGCAGCTTGGTTTGAAGAAATCAACTGTGGGAGCAATTATTAGGAAATGGAAGACATACAAGACCACTGATAATCTCCCTCGATCTGGGGCTCCACGCAAGATCTCACCCCGTGGGGTCAAAATGATCACAAGAACGGTGAGCAAAAATCCCAGAACCACACGGGGGGACCTAGTGAATGACCTGCAGAGAGCTGGGACCAAAGTAACAAAGCCTAACATCAGTAACACACTACTCCGCCAGGGACTCAAATCCTGCATTGCCAGACGTGTCCCCCTGCTTAAGCCAGTACATGTCCAGGCCCGTCTGAAGTTTGCTAGAGTGCATTTGGATGATCCAGAAGAGGATTGGGAGAATGTCATATGGTCAGATGAAACCAAAATATAACTTTTTGGTAAAAACTCAACTCGTCGTGTTTGGAGGACAAAGAATGCTGAGTTGCATCCAAAGAACACCATACCTACTGTGAAGCATGGGGGGGAAACTTCATGCTTTGGGGCTGTTTTTCTGCAAAGGGACCAGGACGACTGATCCGTGTAAAGGAAAGAATGAATGGGGCCATGTATCGTGAGATTTTGAGTGAAAACCTCCTTCCATCAGCAAGGGCATTGAAGATTAAACGTGGCTGGGTCTTTTAGCATGACAATGATCCCAAACACACCCCCCGGGCAACGAAGGAGTGGGTTCGTAAGAAGCATTTCAAGGTCCTGGAGTGGCCTAGCCAGTCTCCAGATCTCAACCCCATAGAAAATCTTTGGAGGGAGTTGAAAGTCCGTGTTGCCCAGCGACAGCCCCAAAACATCACTGCTCTAGAGGAGATCTGCATGGAGGAATGGGCCAAAATACTAGCAACAGTGTGTGAAAACCTTGTGAAGACTTACAGAAAACGTTTGACCTGTGTCATTGCCAACAAGGGGTATATAACAAAGTATTGAGAAACTTTTGTTATTGACCAAATACTTATTTTCCACCATAATTTGCAAATAAATTCATAAAAAATCCTACAATGTGATTTTCTGGATTTTTTTTCCTCATTTTGTCTGTCATAGTTGACATGTACCTATGATGAAAATTACAGGCCTCTCTCATCCTTTTAAGTGGGAGAACTTGCACAATTGGTGGCTGACTAAATACTTTTTTGCCCCACTGTAAAATCTAAAGGTTTACCAAATGTTTGTGGTCATCAATTAGCAGCAGTCGGATTAAGTAATAGTAAAACATATTTTAACGAACGAGAACCGAATCATATCAAAAGTAATGTGAGCATTGCCTTGTGAAAGGCATTTACTTCATATGAAGATGTATTGCATTGTGAAACATGTATTTCTAGATGAAACACTGATTAACTTTGGTGGAAAGGTGACTGTATGATTTTGTGTGTTGTGCTTAGTTTTGAAACAAGAGTTTACCACATACTTGTGAAAATTGCACCAAAGCGATATTTTTTTTGTAAATACACAAATGGGTACACCCACACACACACACGCACGTACATACACATAGATGATGACACAGAGAAGCAGACATCCACGTATTGATATTGCACAAGGGTTGACTGCTGTCATTTTAATTTCCACACACATGCAACCAAAGTCTGACGTAATATAAGCTTACTATTGCATTACACGCCTGTCACAGTACAGAGCATGAAACATCCAGCATATGGAGGCAGTCTTGGCTAAAACACACACACAGCTGGCTTTAGCGTGACGTGACTAAGGAAACTGGTATGCACCAGAAGTCAAGTCCTGTTTCACTCCCCAGTCCCCACTGAATAGAGCATGGCTGCACCACAACACTTACCCCCTTAATGTCCAGACCTGGGTTCAAATACTATTCAAAATCTTTCAAATACTTTAAGCGTTTGCTTTAGCCTACCTGGAGTCCCAGATGGGCGGCATTTGCAGTTTTGCAACTATTCTACTGGTTCAATTGAGCCAGGCAAGTTCAATCATGCCCAGCTTAAGTATTTGAAATTATTTCTAATAGTATTTGAGCCCAGGTCTGCTACTGTCATTTATCAATCAGATCAGCTTTACTTTCACACCTGACAGACAATAATTTTGCTCCTCTGCCCTATCCTACCCCAACCATACACACAGTAGCACAGCCCTAAGGCTGACACATGGTGTTTGTCCCAAATTGCACCCTATTCCCTGACTAGTGCAGTACTTTCTGTATAGGGAATAGGGTGCAATTTCAGACAGCCACTCTCTCCATCTCCATAGGCTAGAACATGAGCTCCTTCGATCAACATTTTTTATCTTTATTCCTGGGGAACCTGTACAGACATTCCCGGCATTCCGAGGTAGATTGCCCGGTTTCCTGGTAGCCATGTCTCGGGGGCACAGAGAGAGGAGAGAGGGCCTGTCTTAGGCCACTAAGCTTAGATACAAAGGCTTGTTCCACAGCTGATTCTCTAACGCACACACACACAGGCTCACTTCATGTTTTCTGCTTAAAAATTATAGCCCGCACTGACCTTTAAAAAATAAAGTGGAATTTTACCAACAATAGTTTCCGCTTTCTTTTTCAGTATTTCACAACACTGGTCTAGAACCTCTTTCTGGTTCCGCTTTCGACTGACACATCTTATTCGTCTTATTCTGTGAAATGTAGACTGTCTGTAGAAGTGCTTGTGTCTTGTATAGAATGTGCAGTATTCTTTATCTATTTCGGGGGGACTGTGTTGGCAAAGTACTGACAAAGTATTGAAACATTTACAGTGAGGGGAAAAAAGTATTTGATCCCCTGCTGATTTTGTACGTTTGCCCACTGACAAAGAAATGATCAGTCTAATTTTAATGGTAGGTTTATTTGAACAGTGAGAGACAGAATAACAACAAAAAAATCCAGAAAAACGCATGTCAAAAATTTTATAAATTGATTTGCATTTTAATGAGGGAAATAAGTATTTGACCCCCTCTCAATCAGAAAGATTTCTGGCTCCCAGGTGTCTTTTTATACAGGTAACGACCTGAGATTAGGAGCACACTCTTAAAGGGAGTGCTCCTAATCTCAGTTTGTTACCTGTATAAAAGACACCTGTCCACAGAAGCAATCAATCAATCCGATTCCAAACTCTCCACCATGGCCAAGACCAAAGGGACAAGATTGTAGACCTACACAAGGCTGGAATGGGCTACAAGACCTTTGCCAAGCAGCTTGGTGAGAAGGTGACAACAGTTGGTGTGATTATTCGCAAATGGAAGAAACACAAAATAACTGTCAATCTCCCTCTGCCTGGGCCTCCATGCAAGATCTCACCTCGTGGAGTTGCAATAATCATGAGAACGGTGAGGAATCAGCCCAGAACTACACGGGAGGATCTTGTCAATGATCTCAAGGCAGCTGGGACCATAGTCACCAAGAAAACTATTGGTAACACACTACGCCGTGAAGGACTGAAATCCTGCAGCGCCCGCAAGGTCCCCCTGCTCAAGAAAGCACATATACAGGCCCGTCTGAAGTTTGCCAATGAACATCTGAATGATTCAGAGGAGAACTGGGTGAAAGTGTTGTGGTCAGATGAGACCAAAATCGAGCTCTTTGGCATCAACTCAACTCGCCATGTTTGGAGGAGGAGGAGGAATGCAGCCTATGACCCCAAGAACACCATCCCCACCGTCAAACATGGAAGTGGAAACATTATGCTTTGGGGGTGTTTTTCTGCTAAGGGGACAGGACAACTTCACTGCATCAAAGGGACGATGGACGGCGCCATGTACCGTCAAATCTTGGGTGAGAACCTCCTTCCCTCAGCCAGGGCATTGAAAATGGGTCGTGGATGGGTATGATCTGCAAAGAGGAGTGTGACAAAATCCCTCCTGAGATGTGTGCAAACCTGGTGGCCAACTACAAGAAATGTCTGACCTCTGTGATTGCCAACAAGGGTTTTGCCACCAAGTACTAAGTAATGTTTTGCAGAGGGGTCAAATACTTATTTCCCTCATTAAAATGCAAATCAATTTATAACATTTTTGACATGCGTTTTTCTGGATTTTTTTGTTGTTATTCTGTCTCATACTGTTCAAAAAAACCTACCATTAAAATTATAGACTGATCATGTCTTTGTCAGTGGGCAAACTTACAAAATCAGCAGGGGGATCAAATACTTTTTTCCCTCACTGTATGTACACAGATTTTGTTTCCTCATCAGTTACAAATCTTCCCTAAGCAAACCAAGATTACAATAGACCGATTTACAGTATCTGATGCAGTAACTAACTTCCCTCTCTTTGTGTGTGTACAGTGAGCTCCAAAAGTATTGGGACAGTGACAAATGTTTTGTTGTTTTGTCTCTGTACTCCAGCACTTTGAATTTGAAATGATACAATGACTGAGGTTAAAGTGCAGACTGTCAGCTTTAACATGAGGGTATTTTCATCCATATCGGGTGAACCGTTTAGAAATTACAGCACTTTTTGTACGTAGTCTCCCCATTTTTGGGGACCAAAAAGTATTGGGACAAATTCACTTGTGTATTAAAGTAGTCAAAAGTTTAGTTTAGTATTTGGTGCCATAGTCCTAGCACACAATGATTACATCAAGCCAGGCCTAGTCGCCCAACATCAGTGCCCGACCTCACTATGCTCTTATGGCTAAATGGAAGTAAGTCCCCGCAGCAATGTTCCAACCATCTAGTGGAAAGTCTTCCCAGAAGAGTGGAGGCTTTTATAGCAGCAAAGGGGGGACCAACTCCATATTAATACCCATGATTTTGGAATGAGGTGATCGACAAGCAGGTGTCCACATACTTTTGGTCATGTAGTGAATCATACCCCCTCAAAAATGCTAACCTCCCCTGTTATTGTAATGGTGAGAGGTTAGCATGGGGGTATGATAGTTGTAAATCTGTAACGTTTTCACTCATCATTATTCACGATTCATTCAGGACTATCCGTAAATCATCCACATTTAATGTAGACATGTTTAGAAACATTATTTTCTTATTTACAATAAAAGTGACTCCAAAATGACACAATAAATTATTTACCATTAATTTCTATTGGGCACAAAATAATCTGAAACTCAACCAAAACAAACAGCAAATGCATCCAATAAGTTTGTAGAGTCACAAGCTTGATGTAATCATTGCATGCTAGGAATACTAAACGTTTGACTACTTACACATAAGTGAATTTGTCCCAATACTTTTGGTCCCCTAAAATGGAGGGACTAGGTACAGTGCTGTAATTTCTAAACGGTTCACCCAATATGGATGAAAATACCCACAAATTAAAACGGTCAGTCTGCACTTTAACCTCATAGTATCATTAAAAATCCAAAGTGCTGGAGTACAGAGCCAAAACAACAAAACATTTGTCACTGTCCCAATACTTTTGGAGCTCACTCTATGCGTGTGTGTTTTCTAGAGCCCGTCCTAGAGTCTCCTGAGTTCCTGCAAGTGTAGCGAGAAGCAGTCAATGGCTCCCTAACCCGGAAACTCCTCGTGGTTAGATATTTTTCTTCACTCTTCCATGTCACCAAAGCTATGTCACCCTGAAGCCTGTCTCACAACCTTCTGTGCTGGGAGAGCTCTCTCTCTCTCTCTGTGTACCGCGTCATGGATGGGGGAGGGAAGGAGGGCACAGTTTCTTCTAAAATAAATGTTCCACCTGCAACAACAGCCGGAGGAGGCCAAAGGGGGCTTGTGTTGCAGTGGGGGCCTGCTAAGTATGTGACGCTCCGTCTGACCACTGAAGACAGCTCAAGGACCAGCAGGTGCTCCTGATCTGATGTCCCAGGACTGTACTGAGGAGGATGGGTGGAGGGGGGGGATACAAAGCAGCTCCCGTGGACTCTTGATGACATGCTCCTCACCATTTCCCTCATAGAGATTTCCCCCATATAGAGCCAGTTCCCGGACACAGATTAAGCATTAATCTAGACCACAAACAGTGTTAATTTTGTTTAAAAAATGTTTTTCCAAAATATTCGTCAACCACCTATTTTTCAGTGGCAATTGACGAGACTATAACTGACTACATAGACACAGAAAAAACTATAACTAAACAAAAATGATTTTTCATTTCAGTTGACTAAAACGAGACAAAACGAAATTATCTCTGATTTAAAATCTGACTCCTAAGTGGACTGGACAAGCGTTTTTGGAGAGATCAAGCACTTTTCAGTGATGAGCACAATAAAATATTAGCAGCACAGATGCACAGTGCAGTTCTTTTCAGCAGTGGGAAGGATGCACCACACACAGCCTACATCAGCTGGTGAGCTACGGGGGAGCAAGCGATGAGTGTGGGCAGACAGGCTTTGCTCCAGCTCCGCCTCTGATTATACACATCGCACAGGCGACTCTCTTGATTTCCCATAGCTAACCAGTCACCACCAGCCTTCTAGTTAGCTACCCTTTACCTGGTTAAGAAACACAAGCTGCTTTACGCAATTTTAAACAACAGCAGTATTGAGTTTAATAGTAAAACAACAGTCTAGCTATGTTTTTCTCTTCCTTGAGTATAGAAAAGTAGGCAGTTTTTTTGAATGTGTAGTCTCGCGCAACCCTCCCACTTTCCACACTGCCTTTCATAGCCAGGTTCTGGAGCCAGGTCTCACTCTTTTCCTCAGAGAAAACGCTTGATGCTAGCCCTTACTGTTCAAAAGATATGACCCGGCGCTACATTTTTTATGTCTATCATGCATTGGCGGGCTGCATTTTACATTCAGAACACATATCGCGGGCTGTTCTAAAAGTAGGCTACTTGCGGACCGGACCGTTAACCATTTGTTTAGCTTTGTTCAGTCATGTTACCTCATTAGCTAGCTATAGCTAACAACCTGGGGCACGTTCAGCAGGATGCAACTTTTTGGAACGTTCAGATAGAAATATGCTATGTAGAACAAACATGCATCTCTGACATGTTGAATAAAGTCTGCTCTTTCTATCTGCAACATTCAAAAGTTTTGTAACTGAACGTGGCCCTGGTAACATTTGGTGGCACAGAAAGAAAGGAAAAGGGATAGCAAACAATTTATTGACTAAATTCTTCTTGCCACTACACTACTGGCTCTCAAGGTTTAGTGACTCTACTACATCACTGGGCGAAATGGTCATAAGCCCCCGTTCTACTTTTGGACATCAGTGTGACTGCATTGATAACAATGGCAATGACGCGACCGAGTGACAGAGGTGCAACCCATGGCACTTTGCGTCACCATCTGGTGATTTTCTCTCTATCTCTCTCTCTCTCTCTCTGTGTGTGCAATATCTATGTAGCCTGAATTAGGAATTTACATGGCCAGATAATTCTTATGTTTGTCATTTCTGCTGTTGAGAATAGGATGGTATGCAGAAAAATATGTTGGTAGGTCAAGACTATATATGTTTGTGCACATGGAAGTCAGTGATTTATGTTTACTATAAGTTAATGAGGCAATACAAATGTGATGTGACTAAAATGAAAGGGCATTTAGTTTACTAAAATGTTGACAATAACTAGACTAAATAATTATTAATATAGTCTAAATTATTAAGACTAGACTAAATCTAAAAAAGAGGGCCAAAATTAACACTGACTAAAAAACATGTTCAATGGAGATTCTCCATTGAAAGTGCTTCTTAGTCCAAGACCATAAGCTTTATCTGTGTCCCGGAAACTGGCCCATAGTGTTCTATTTATTTCTATGATTTCCCCCTCTTCCTATGGCTCTGATATGCGTATTCAGCACATTTGCTTGTGCCAAAGTGATCAAGGTAGTAAGAGGTACACATTGGTGGGCTGACAGTAGTCTTTTAAGGCCATTCCCAACCAGCCTTAAACAATTGCTCGTAAAAACGTGTTTCTCTGAGCTGTTTTAACAAGACCAAAGCCCTACTTTTATTTATCTACCCTTCCCAGTATTGTGTAGTTCCTCTTTCCCCCTCTATATATTTCACTACCTAAATTACTACGTTTCTGTAACCCCCCTCCATCCCTTTCCTCTCCCTCATTCCCTCCCATACACATCCCCCCTCCCCCATAATCCTCAAATTCCCTGCACTTAACAATGTCGTAACAATGTCCAAATATTCAACCAGTACTAGAAAATGTCAAAGAAAGATTAGAGATATGTTGCTATGCTGGATGGTCTGTTTTTGTAGAGAGGTGTCTATTTTGGCTCTCCTGTAGTGGATGGATCTAGTAACCAAACTCAACCAGCCGAATGCCTTCACTGCCAAGATGACCAACGTGTCTTATTACATGGTGTTGTTATGTTTACTGTTTTGTGATTTCTTTTGGCATATTTTGTGTTTGTAGCTACTGTATGTACAATGTAAATAGTTAGATAAGTTTGATTATTTTATCTTTGTTTGTGCTCATTTCAAAGGGATGTTCATGTCAAAGTGATATACTACTGTATGTATACATAAGTTAATTGAAAAGCTGTTGACCAAAGAACAGTCAGACAGAGAAGGACAGTGAAAGTATATGAGTGAAGTCAACTAAACTGGTATTTCAGACATTATGTTTAGATTGTGTCTATGTTAGTTATAGCCACTGGTGGCTATCATATACTACTGTAGATGCTAGATAAGGGGTGTTCAGTGAATTGTAAAATAAGAAAATACACACAAAAAACACCCCGTAATTAGTAATGTTGCAGTGAGACAGGGTATTGTGTAAGTATTTTAGTTCCTGTGCAGTTGCATTTGTGTGTGTGTGTGTGTGTGTGTGTAATAGCCAAACAGCTGCAGCTTTGGCAACACCATGTGAAATAAAGCCTTTCATAAAAACTTAATGAAATAAAATGTGATATTTCTTTCTATAATAAATCGGAGCTCTTACACCTTTCTGTTTGTGTCTTTACATCACTGAGCATAATATACAGTGGGGGAAAAAAAGTATTTAGTCAGCCACCAATTGTGCAAGTTATCCCACATAAAAAGATGAGAGAGGCCTGTAAAAAAAAAAAAAATCCAGAAAATCACATTGTAGGATTTTTTATGAATTAATTTGCAAATTATGGTGGAAAATAAGTATTTGGTCAATAACAAAAGTTTCTCAATACTTTGTTATATACCCTTTGTTGGCAATGACACAGGTCAAACATTTTCTGTAAGTCTTCACAAGGTTTTCACACACTGTTGCTGGTATTTTGGCCCATTCCTCCATGCAGATCTCCTCTAGAGCAGTGATGTTTTGGGGCTGTCGCTGGGCAACACGGACTTTCAACTCCCTCCAAATATTTTCTATGGGGTTGAGATCTGGAGACTGGCTAGGCCACTCCAGGACCTTTAAAATGCTTCTTACGAAGCCACTCATTCGTTGCCCGGGCTGTGTGTTTGGGATCATTGTCATGCTGAAAGACCCAGCCACATTTCATCTTCAATGCCCTTGCTGATGGAAGGAGGTTTTCACTCAGAATCTCACGATACATGGCCCCATTCATTCTTTCCTTTACACGGATCAGTCGTCCTGGTCCCTTTGCAGAAAAACAGCCCCAAAGCATGATGTTTCCACCCCCATGCTTCACAGTAGGTATGGTGTTCTTTGGATGCAACTCAGCATTCTTTGTCCTCCAAACACGACGAGTTGAGTTTTTACCAAAAAGTTCTATTTTGGTTTCATCTGACCCAGTCCTCTTCTGGATCATCCAAATGCACTCTAGCAAACTTCAGACGGGCCTGGACATGTACTGGCTTAAGCAGGGGGACATGTTTGGCACTGCAGGATTTGAGTCCCTGGCGGCGTAGTGTGTTACTGATGGTAGGCTTTGTTACTTTGGTCCCAGCTCTCTGCAGGTCATTCACTAGGTCCCCCCCGTGTGGTTCTGGGATTTTTGCTCACCGTTCTTGTGATCATTTTGACCCCACGGGGTGAGATCTTGCGTGGAGCCCCAGATCGAGGGAGATTATCAGTGGTCTTGTATGTCTTCCATTTCCTAATAATTGCTCCCACAGTTGATTTCTTCAAACCAAGCTGCTTACCTATTGCAGATTCAGTCTTCCCAGCCTGGTGCAGGTCTACAATTTTGTTTCTGGTGTCCTTTGACAGCTCTTTGGTCTTGGCCATAGTGGAGTTTGGAGTGTTGACAGTTTGAGGTTGTGGACAGGTGTCTTTTATACTGATAACAAGTTCAAACAGGTGCCATTAATACAGGTAACGAGTGGAGGACAGAGGAGCCTCTTAAAGAAGAAGTTACAGGTCTGTGAGAGCCAGAAATCTTGCTTGTTTGTAGGTGACCAAATACTTATTTTCCACCATAATTTGCAAATAAATTCATTAAAAATCCTACAATGTGATTTTCTGGAAATGTTTTTCTCAATTAGTCAGGCCTCTCATCTTTTTAAGTGGGAGAACTTGCACAATTGGTGGCTGACTAAATATTTTTTTTCCCCACTGTATATACTCACTGGCACGTCTCCCAATGCTACAAGGACATGTTGTTATAGTAGGCCAAGGAGGGATATATTATATATGTGTGATTCTACAGAATAGGTGTAAATTGCTGTCCCACCCCAAAAAAACTATTTAAAAAAACAGTTAAGTCTCCAAACTTGGACATTTATTTACATCATATGTTCTAAATAATTCCAAGGCAATAACAAACACATTGTTACATTAATATAGTATAAATCCATTGTTTATACAGTTATTTCTATTGAGATGGCTGTCCCAAACCCTGCCTCCTAAACTTCATGTTTTGAAAATAAAGCAATTCATGATTTTTGTAATTTGTTTAACACTATTACTTCAATAGAACATCTTGAGTTGTTCTATTACTATATTGAAAGATACTGATCT